GATTGTGTTAAAACTTCAACCTTGTATCCTAATTTATGTAACGCAGCAGTAGCACCCACAGAGACGTTAGTACCACAGTGTCAGAATACTAGGCTTGCTTCATTATCTTCATCCTCCATGTGCTTTTATTCTGAAGTGGGTCCTAGTGGGAAATTCAGCATCTCAGTATGTATATCGTATCCTTTGGAAAGAGCAGAGACTCAAGTCCACTTGAAAAATTTAATTTTCTTGGCATTGTCCCTACATTCTAACCCCATCAGGTTCTGTTTAACTCAGTCACAGTTTCAGAGTGCCCAGAGTTCTTTGGGAGATCCGCCTCAGGATTGTGTTAAAACTTCAACCTTGTATCCTAATTTATGTAACGCAGCAGTAGCACCCACAGAGACGTTAGTACCACAGTGTCAGAATACTAGGCTTGCTTCATTATCTTCATCCTCCATGTGCTTTTATTCTGAAGTGGGTCCTAGTGGGAAATTCAGCATCTCAGTATGTATATCGTATCCTTTGGAAAGAGCAGAGACTCAAGTCCACTTGAAAAATTTACTTTTCTTGGCATTGTCCCTACATTCTAACCCCATCAGGTTCTGTTTAACTTAGTCACAGTTTCAGAGTGCCCAGAGTTCTTTGGGAGATCCGCCTCAGGGCAGCCTTCACCTCATTATTCCTTAAGCTGTAGATAATGGGGTTCAGTATGGGAGTCACGACAGTGTAGGAGAGCGACAGTGCCTTCTTGTTCTCAGGGGAGGTGTTAGAGCGAGGCCGGAAGTACGTGAGGATGGCAGTGCTGTAGAAGAGGGAGACGACTAGGAGATGGGAGGAACAGGTGGAGAAGGCCTTACGCTTTCCCTCAGCTGAAGGCATCCTAAAGATGGTGGAGAGGATGTGGACATATGAACCCAGGATCAACAAGAAAGGGAAGAGGATGAACAGGACAGTGGCTATCAGAGCCTCCAGTTCAAACAGAGAGGTGTCAGCACAGACCAGACTGTAGATAATGGGGTTCAGTATGGGAGTCACGACAGTGTAGGAGAGCGACAGTGCCTTCTTGTTCTCAGGGGAGGTGTTAGAGCGAGGCCGGAAGTACGTGAGGATGGCAGTGCTGTAGAAGAGGGAGACGACTAGGAGATGGGAGGAACAGGTGGAGAAGGCCTTACGCTTTCCCTCAGCTGAAGGCATCCTAAAGATGGTGGAGAGGATGTGGACATATGAACCCAGGATCAACAAGAAAGGGAAGATGATGAACAGGACAGTGGCTGTCAGAGCCTCCAGTTCAAACAGAGAGGTGTCAGCACAGACCAGGGCAATGACAGGGGGACTGTCACAGAAGAAGTGGTTCACCCTGTTTGGGCCGCAAAAAGGGAAACTGAAAATCCATGTGGTTTCCACAGTAGCTACTGGGACCCCTGAGAACCAAGAAGCAGCTGCCAGCTGGGCACAGGACCTGTGGCTCATGATTATTGGGTAGTGCAAAGGGTCACAGATGGCCACATAGCGGTCATATGCCATAGTGGCCAAGAGGCAGCACTCAGCAACCCCAAAGAAGAAGAAGAAATACATCTGAGTGGCACATCCAAGGAAAGAGATAGTTGTGTCTTGGAGTATCAGAGTCCCTAGCATCTTGGGTACGATGACCAAGTTGAAGCCTATCTCCAGGAAGGATAAGTTTCTGAGGAAGAAGTACATAGGACTTTGCAGGGCAAAGTCAGCTGTAGTAACCAGAATGATGAGAACATTGCCCATTAGTGTGACTAGGTAAATGCCCAGAAACAGGAGAAAGAGTAGAGCCTGCAGCTCAGAGGACAAGGTTGAGAAGCTCACAAGAATAAATTCCCTAACGGTTGTCCAGTTTCCCCGCATCATTCTTCTGCCCAAGATCTCACTATGTGTTCAAATTTCAGGGACGTAGAAGCTTCCACATATTTTATAAGCTTATTGTACTCTAAGTAAATGAACCTCCTGTGGCTCCATACTTTTTCTTGTTATGGTTGTTGAAGGTCAAACATCTGTCCTCTCCAAATCGAATAAAATAATTTTGACCATTGAGTTCATAGTAGTTTTGAAAGAACTCTGTTTTTCCAGACTAAACTAAGATGTACTGTATATATTTAGACACATCCAGACTTTTCTCTGTTCTGTAGAGAAGTCCCAAAGGCGCAGCTGAACTTTAGCCTCTTATTCTATTACCCTTCAATAATCAGTGGTGCTAAGAAAGACAGGCGAAGAGTTTCTGAAGAGAGGGGCTTGATACATAATGAAAGTTGATGAGGTCAGGCAGGACATTTTACTGCAAAACAAAAGGCAGAAAGAAAAAAAATCTAGGAAAGTGAAACAAGAATTAACATATGATTCCCAAGGAAAAGACCTAAGTAGTTCCCAATGTCAAGGAACCCATGCCAAGGAGGATTTCATTTCATTCTAGGAAGCTCTATTTCTATACCCAGGAAACTTCATTCTAGACAGGAAGATATACAACAGACAGGAAGTGTGCTTATCTTCTT